TATTAAAGAGGGCACGTTCTGCATGGAGCACTGGGTGTTATACGCAAACAATGAATCATGGAACACCACATCAAAAACTAATGATGTAATGTATGATGACTAACATAATAAAATTTTAAAAAGGAATATAATACAGCTGTGAAAAGGAGAAAATTTCAGTGAACTGATGGAGGAACTTCAGGATTTATCGTTAAATGTAAAAAGCAAGGAGAATGGGGTGGATAGTAAGTACTACCATTTGTAAAAAGTGGGGGGAGGGAACCAACATATATTTTTGTATTTGTGCAAGGAAACACTGGAGGACCGCACAAGGAACTAACAAGAGTGGTCACCTCTGGGGAGCAGGGGGGAAGGAAGGCACTGGATAGGAATGAGGCAGGAGGAAGGTTTTTTACTGTGTATCTTTGGTATTGTTAATATCTTTTAGATATTAGAGGAGGAGATATCAGAGGAGCCATGTGAATGGATCACCATTCAAACACATTATGGTTAGCCCGATCCAGGGACTGGATGCCTTGTGCTCAATCCTAGCTCTTCCGCTCACCAACAGTGGGAACTCTGGCAAGTTATTCATCTCCTCCTCATTTGTAAAATGCAGATAATAATAGTTACTAACTCCTAAGCTTGTGAGAATTGAAGAAAACCCCCAACTAGGTGAAGTGCTTGGCACATGGTAAGTGGACACAGGATGCTGGGAGTGAGACTATGCTTATTGATATTAGTGCTTGGCATTGCAGGAAGGGAGGGGCTTTCCCAAGAAAACACATCTGGGACCTCTCTGACCTCAAACCGAGAGATGGGCTTGAGAGGAAAGGGGACGAGTGTGTGTATCGTGATGGGTCGTTTACAAACATGGCATGACGGCCACAGTTCCTCCCGTGCCTGGGGTCTAGCCTTTCGCAATGTGGCTTTGCAGGTCCTCCTACCAAGGGTCTCTTTGGCCATGTGAGTTGCTTTGACCAAAAGCATGTGGTGGGATGAAATGACCTTGTGTGCCTTCAAAGCTGGGCCTCAAGAGGCCTTGAAGCTTCTACCTGTGCTCTTTGGGGATAGAATTCTACCATGTGAGGAGGCGGGGCCCAGCCTGAAGGAGGTTGTGGCCCATGAGAGAGAGAGGCCTAGCTGACAGCAGATGTGTGTGTAAGGCTCTCTTGGACCATCCAGCCCCAGTGAAGATGCCAGATGACTGCAGCCATATCACGATCCCAGAAGAGTAGGGCTGTTAGATTTAGTAATAAAAATACAGGCTACCCAGTTAAATCTGAATTTCAGATGAAAAATAAATACTTTTTTAGTGTAAGTATAGCCCATGCAATATTTGAGGATATACTTATACTCAAAATTATTCATCACATGTCTGAAATGCAAATCCAACTGGCCATCCTGTATCTTATCTGGCAACTCTACAGGAGAGACCAGCCGAAGAATCTCCCAGGTGAGTCAAACTCAGCATAAATTGCTGAATCAAAAAATTTTGAACAAAAAAAATGGCTGTTTTCTTAAGCTACTGTTTCGGGGAGGTTTCTTATGCAGCAAGAGATAACTGGTGTGTGTGTATCTGGAGGATGGTGGTGGGATCTACCCTATACTCTTGACCTCCTGAGCCCTGCCAGTCATCCAAGTTCCATCCTCTAGGCCTCCTACCCATTTAAAATCTGGGTGAGGCCCTTTGTCTCCGAGTCCCTGTCCCGAGTCAGCCCAGCTCTGCCCCAGCCCAACTCCACCCTTGACCCTGCCCAACCCCAGAGCACTTACTTGAGATGAGGGTGGGGCGGTGCTGGCTTCTTGGACTCTTCCCCCTGTTGGGAGGCGCTCCGGCCTTGAACGGGGGGCCGGGGCTGGGAGGTGAGGGGGCCGCCTGGCTTGGAGGCCTGGTTTGGAGAACTGCCACTGGATGCCCGGGACAGCTGCGGAGAGCCTGGTGATCTCTGCGGAGATCCAGATGGGGGGCTCAGGGGCTGCTGGCCCTGGGGGGAGAGCCTCTGCTGGGACGGGCTTCCAGATCGCGCCGGCTGCTGGGTCGGAGTTTGGCGAGGGCCCCCTAGAGGGGGAAAAGTGATGACGTTCAAGTTTTTCTTAAGATAAACATGGCTGTGCACAAATATTGCTTCAAGGATGTTCATTACAGTGTTTTTTTTAACAGTGAAAAGCTGAAAACAGTATAAATGCCCAATTGCGGAACTGATCGGGAACATTAAGATACATCCATATAATGGAATATGCTGTGGCCATCATATATGATATGGGCAGAATCACAGTAAATGACAGAATATTGTTGACAATATGTGCTAAATATATACTGCTGAACAAAAAGGCAGCTTACAAAATAGCACGTACAGGTTTATTCCATTTTAGCACATACGTATGTAGCTATGTAAAACATAAAGACTGGAAAGTTGTCCCCTCAAACCAGCGTGTCTCTAATTTTAATGTGCACACGAATCACTGGGGGATCTTGTCAAAATAAAGATTCTGATACAGGAGGTACGGGAGGGAGAGTGTGGTGAACCGAACTGTGTCCCACCCCCCCCATTCATATTTAGAAGTCCTCACCCTCAAGGTGACTGCATTTGGAGATAGGGCCCTAAAGGAACTCATTATTGTTAAATGATGTCATGAGGGTGAGGCCCTAATCCAATAGGACTGGAGTCCTTAGGAGAGAGAGAGAGAGAGACCCCAGGGGCCACACAGGGGAAAGGCCACATGAAGACACAGTGAGAAGGTGATGTCCACAAGCCATGGGGAGAAATTTCAGTCCTGTTGGCACCTTGACCTTGGACTTCCAGCCTCCAGGACAGAGAGAGGATAAATGTCTTTTGTCGAAGCTACTCCATCTCTGGTATTTTGTTATGGCGGCCCACACAGACTCCTACCGGGGGGATCTGGGGTTCTGCATCTCTAACAAGCTCCCAGGTGATCCTTCTGCTCTCCGCGCTTTGAGTAACGAGCCATGGCTCATGATTACTAAAGTGGTGGGGTTAATTCTCTTCCTTTGGCTCACTGATGTTTTCCACACCGAAGATGTATTCCTTTCGAAACAATGGATTATCCCTTACTTTTCAATAGCTTTTTACACTTTTCTAAGAACTTTCAAAGGCATATATGTCATTTGATCTAGAGAGGGGCTGGTAGGGAAGATGCCATCCTTCTCATCACGGAGAGGTGCACACTGAGCCTCCCCAAGTTCTCCCAACTAGAAGGCGTAGCCGCAGGAAGCTCACGGGGTCTTAGCTTCTCCCTCTCACTGCACAGAGCATGTGGGCCTTCACCAACAAGCAAAGGGGCATCATAAACTTGGGGACATTTTAGCCGCCCAGAAATGACTGAGTGGAACTCCAAGGCCCCAGGCAAGCAAGGTGCTCTCTCCTCATCCTCGAAGCCCGAGTGTCGGGGCTGCTGACTGAATTGCATTTTGCCCAAACAGATGGGGGCCTGCAGCACAGTTGTCCTCGCCTGGCTTTGTTGAGATCACTTCAGACAGGTGAGGAGACTGGGAGTTCAAAGGGGCTGGGGCCCGTCTCTGGGGCCCTTTCCTAACGCGGCTTCCGCTCATCTGCCCTCCCCAGGTCTTACTGAGCCCACTACACCCCCAGCCTAGGGCTGGGCAGCCTGGCATCGCGCTGCGGGTTAGGCATGATCCCCACAAATGTCCCCATTTTTCCAAAGAAGCTGAGTCCCAGATATACTGCGACTTGCTCGAGCTGTCACTTTTAATAAGGGGGAGAGCCAACATTCAAACCTACATCTCTTTGACTCAAAAGCTCTGTTTCGTTTTCTCTTTTTTCCTTAAAAAACAAACAAACAAAAAACAAACCCCCGAAACTATGCCATGCAGGGCTGCCCTGAGTCCTCACATCTTTGTGCAAATGAAGAAAAGGTGCTCTCCTCCCGGGGTGGCCGCCCTGAGCCAGGTGCAAGAGGAGCTGGGCCGAGGCTTCAGCTGACCTTTGCCCTCCGACGTCATCCCAGCCGGGACCTTTGCAGAGGGCACGACCTGCATGTCTGGCGGCACCAGGAGCCCCAGGTCTTAACTCCAGTCTCGCGTTAACTTGCTCTGTGGCCACAAGTGAGTAAGTCACTTTTCTCGGGGTTTCTGGACTCTTGTCTGTAAAATGAGGCCCTCGGAGCAGACCCTCCACATCCCTCCCAGTGTGGACGTTCTTGGGAGCCCGGGCAGCACTTCCGACGCTGGACTGAATAGCAGCCAAGATTTAGCAAGTGATTGCACATGGCCTTGATTTGCTGTGCACCGCCCTCGTCGCTGTCTGTCCTGGTGGTTCAGAGGGCCCAGTGATCTCCAACCCAAACGCCGAAATAAATGAAGCAGGCAAGTGTCCAAAAAATCATGGCAGCCCAAGCAGACTGCTACTTTAAATTTAAAAAAAATTTTTCCCTTGAGATAAAAACATAGTTCGGAGAACTCTTTCTCTGAAGAGGTGCAAGCTAAAGGAAGTAAGGATGGACACTACATTGCTGTGAAGGTGACAATAGGGAAGGGCAGGGCCTGAGGCAAATGGCGGAGTCCTGCTGTCCTAGGGAGCCGCTGGGACTGTCAGAGGACACTTGCTGAGGAGGAACCCGAGCCCCTGGCTTCCAGAGCTTCTGCTCTATCCAGAGAACTTGAAATCGAGGTATTTGTGCCAAAGCTCCTGATTTCTAAATGCTGGCTTCCTCTTGTGTGTCTTAAACCCACTTCCGGTCAAAGAAAACCTCTGTTCTCTACTTTTATCTCAAGTCTTCCCGTCTCCTCCCCTACCCCGGGGCCAATAATATCTTGGAAAAATCTGGATCCTCATTCATTCATTTATTTATTAACAATTTGTCGAATCCCTTAGACACCTGGGCTTCCTCAAGAGACACTCATTTCTTTCAGTGTCTTGGCAAAGCAATTTAGTATTTTTAATTTCAGCACATACAAAAACCCATTAACTTATATATAGAAAGTATTTGCCTAAGCACCAGGATTGGTGCTAAAAAATTATGAGGTTCGTTAAAAGAAAACTTCACTTTTTATGGTGAGTTCAAACAAACAAGTTAGTAATGTGATCCTGTTATTTTGGGAACTCAATGAAAGCATTGTTTTTTAATTAGCCTTGTTATTTTTAATCTGAATGTTAATTCGATGAGCATTTGCTTTAATTATCTTAATTGGTTTTAAATTAATTGTTTTTCAACTCACTAAAAAGTGTGTTTAGCCCCGTGTCCCTTAAAATAATATCTCTTTATCAAGCATGTCTGTACTCTGGGCCGGAGAGGAAACCAGAATACAGTAGCTCTCTGTTTTAAAAAGTGCTCGGTTCAAATGTGTTTTAAAAAAGTAAGTCCTGGGGCAGAGCGGGAAAGGAGAGGGCAGGGCAGGGCAGAGGCACAGCCAGGAGCCCGGCAGGGGGATGAATAAATCATTTTTGAACATTTATAATGATAGAACTACCTCTAGGCAGGAGGGTAGTGGGGCTGCTTTATTTCTAAGGACGGTTAACGGTAATGATCATAAAGAACAACATGGATATTTTAATTGTTAATAAGACACATGTTATTGTGTGTAAGTTTTTAACAGTGGAAGTTATATAGATAGTTATTCCTAGTAAACTGAGCTAGCACCTCCTGGGCGATACCCCCGCGCCAGGCACCTTGCTGCCCAAGGACAGCTCCCCATAACTACCCAGGGCAGCGGTTATATCCCTGGGGAGACCAAGCCTCGGAGAAACGACGAGACCTGCCTGAGACTTAAGAGTACTGAGATGAGGAGGAGGATTCAAAAACACGTCTATCTGCCTCACGAAGAATCCCGATGTCCAGGCACACAGTTATGGAAGTTATGCAATCTCCCTTTTCTTGAATACTTTCTGCTTTTCTGAGAAGAGACGCAGACACAAGAAAGATGGACTGGGCCCTTTATCCGAGACCCGTGGAAGACGATGCCATTTAATGCCCAAGGCCGGATTGTCCCAAGAAACCATGAATATGTCACTTCAATCAAAGCAACTGGAAAGGCCACAACGTGAGTCAAGCTTTTCCTTTCTGACAGGTTCTAAGGAGATTCTTAAGAAGATTGTCATGAAACCAGCCGGTGGGGCCTCTTGATGCAGAGCTGCTCGGAAGCTCCAAGCTGGTGCTAGAGCAGGGGGCGCATCTGGAAGGTTCTGGCTGCGAGCGAGCTGAGCGAGGCGGCGGCATGCGGTGTCCCCCGCCAGGCCTGTGCGGGACAACACAGAGGCGGCGACATTCCGTGAGAAAGTTAGTTATTGCCATGGCTCCCTCCTGTCATCACGAGTTTATCCGTTCTCCCCTAAGTGCCAGCATTTACACAGCAATGCTGGAATATTTTTTGAGGGAGAATTTCCATCGATGAAGTCTTATCAATGTTCCGTGTTTCTTTCTCTCTCTGTCTGGCTGCTTGGCTCATAAATCCATAATTAGGCACCACTAGTGGCTAAGAAACAAGACACTTTCTCAAAGATCTGAAAAGCCACACGTATAAACCTGCATTTTCTACTTGTGCCATGGCCACCTCTGGAAAAAGGACATACTGATGCTTTCACTGGGGAGTGCTTGGGAGACAAAGAAGAAAAATAAAGGCGGGGGGGTAGATGAGAAAGTCCCTTGCCCGGTGCCTGGCACGGCGGAGGTGCTCAGCAGTCACCTGTCTCCCCGTCCTTCCTGCCTGAGTTGAAGGGGGTGACAGACATCACAGTCTCATCCATCCGGCCCACAGAGCGAATGCACGTATTCTGTGGACACAGCACTGCGGCGGATTTTCCCAGAGTGCCTTCTGGAGAGCACCCATGGACCCCTCAGGGCATTTCAGCATCCTCCCTGTCTGATTTCCCTTGGTGACCTGTGGCTCTTACCTTGTGTGGGCGGCCGTGACTGTGGCTGTCCAAGCAGAGGCCCCAGCTGGGCCGGCCCCGGGGATTTCGCTGGTTTAGTGTGTGCAGCCTAGAGCAGGAGAGGAAAGAAGCCTGTCGTGATTGCCACAGCCCTCCGCTTCCTGCGTGGGAAGGCAGGACTTAGATCTTGTTATCACGGAGGTAAGACGTATTACCTAAGGCGCACAGTTAGTGGGAGTACACCGTCATGAGTTTTTACATGCGTATACATCCGTGTAGCCACCACCCGGATCAGGCCAGAGCATTCCAGGCGAGAAGGCTGCCCCACGCCCTTCCCAGCCAGCAACCCCCTCAAGTATAACCATCATTCCGACAGCTGTCATCATAGATTTGTTCTTGTGGGGGGCGGGGGGAGCAGGTTTTGAGACTTGCTTTTCCAGAAAGCTGAGTGCTAGCGAATTCTTTGGAGAACGATCTGGTAATCTGTGGTGAGCGCCGTGGAAGGGAGGAGCTATGTGGGAGCTTGTCGGGGTTGGGGGATGGAGAGACAGAAGACACGATAGTCCCTATTGACTGGTGCCCTGGGAACACGCAAAGGGCACGCGTGCATGCACACGGCCATACACACACACCCACACGCACCCGCTGCGCCCTGCTCGGACCTAGGACGGAGGGCACAGAAGGGACAGCTGACTTCTTACATTAATAATCTCTGCCTGCAAGTGCAGTCGAGACAAGGTTTTTCTATCTATGATGGAAGGAGGAAGGTCTCAGAGCCTCCCAAACTCCCCTGTCTGGAGCAGGGGTGCAAGCTCGCATGCCCAGCCTCCAGCGACACCCCATTCCCTTCTCCCCAGGCTGGTTCCATTCTAGGACTATCTCCTTTGGATCCAGAGGCTCCCCAGTCCCAGACAGCCCAGCATTTCTCACGGGTACAAAGTCTCCTGTGCTCCCGAGAACCTTACCCAAGGCCTCAGGGGCGAGGGCACTGTGCCCCCTGGTATCAGGAGTTGGCTCATTTTGGAGACAACGAGGTCGGCCATCAGCTGTCTGTCCTCTTCCACGTGCTCTCCGATCAAGGGCATTGAGCTGTCCATCACCTGTGGGAGAGAAAGGAGGCCTGAGGGAACCCCTTGCCCGGTAGCCAGGCAGCCAGGCAACACGTCCTGGGAGGGCTGGCTCAGGGCTCAGGACAGAAGTGACCACTAGATGGTGATGTTCTCCCAGCAAACACCCAGCCCAGCGCCTCTCGCTGGGAATGACTCCCGCTGAGACACCCAGATCCCCGCAGTTCAGTTTAATCAACTCTCTGGATTTAGTTCAATTCAGCCTACGTTTGTTGGGCTACAGAAATGTGACCAATAGCCAGGGAGCCTTTGCTGACCTTTTCTGCTCTTCTCTTTGGGGAGCCAGTCTCCGCCCCCTCCTTTCCCACCTTGGCTCCTGCCCAGGCATGGGGCCCACCTCCTGAACTTTGGCCCAAGGTCAAGGCTTTCCACAATGCCGGAAGCAGTGAAGGTGGGGGCTCAATTATGACCAAAAAATGACATGGGCTGGAGTTGACCCCGGGTTCGGAGAGAAGAGGGATGAGGAAAGGCCTGTTCTCAGGGGCTCTGGCAGAACATGTGCCTGGAGAGAAACATATTCCACAGGGAATGGCGTGCTTCTGAAGGAGGCAAAGTGCTTATATTGGGAGGGGTCCTGCGAGATCACATTTGCTCATCCCGCTCTTTTTGCAGATGGGGAAACTGAGGCCTAAAGATGGGAAGGGACTTGGCCAAAGTCGCGCGGGCCAACCATGCAGGTGATCTCCCCAGGCAGGGGCAGCCGTGGAAGGACTGGAAGGGGAGTGAGGCCTAGGGAGGCACTCTCTCCCCTCCTCCACTGTGGGAGTCCGGGCCTGTTCATCCACCCGACGGCCGTCAAATGCACAGCCTTGTTTCCCCTTTTCCCAAGCTCTGGACTCACCAGGTTCTCTCTTCCGACCGGGTCCTTATCTATGCCCATTCCCTCCGCTCACTCTTCACTTAATTCCTTCTCATCCTTCCTGGAACACGAAGCTAAGCCCTTCTTCTCTGACCGAGCAACTTCTAACCAGCTGCTCATCTACACCCCTGCTGTCCTCACATTGGTTGTCCCATCAGAGAGCTTACCCACAGTGCTGACATCTCCTGTTTACCTGTGTCTCTCCAACCAGACCGTGAGTCCCTGAGGTCAGGGATGGGCCTGGAGTCCTGATCGACAGATATGCCCTCAGTAACTCCTACGATGGAGAAATGAAAGGTCCTTGCAATAAGTCCTGCTCATAATGATAAGGATACCAGTGTGTGCTGTGTTATTAAGCACTTATTATGTGCCAGGCACTGTTCCAAGCACTGGGTGTGGATGATCTCGTACAAATCTCAGAACAGCTCTTGGAGGCAGGTGCTATTACCATCTTCATCATAATGATGAGGAACCTCAGCGTCAAATAAGTAGTAAGTTCAAGGACACATTGCTAGCAAGCCACCGTCCTTCCATTACTCACCGAGCACTGAACGGCTCTCTGTGGTGAAAACCAGGAACGGGAACCTGGAATCCAAGCCTATGTTCTGCTATAGACTCGCTGTGTGATCTTGGGCAGGTCACGTTTCCTCTGTGGGCCCTTGTTTCCCTCAACCGTAAATTGAGGGGTCTGGGCAGCTGTGAAGACCCTTCCAGGTGGGGCTTTTAGGGGTCTATTTGTCTAAAGCACCCACTCTGGTTGGGAGGCTGAAAAGCAAACTCAAGGATGTGAATGTTGATTCTAGCACGGTCCTGAGAACTCTCCTCGAATTGAGCTCCTTATGGGTTGGGCCAGAGTCCTTGGCATTCCAGATCTCAGTGCCCGGCACACGGGCAGCCTCTTGGTCTATGTGGGCTGAACTGAGTTATAACTGTGGAGTCTGTCTGGATGGACACAGGCCTGTCCTTCCTCCCCCTGACCCTACCCATCATCTTCTCTTCTGGTTTCTGTTTCCTACACTCCCTGCTGTGGAAAACAGCCACCACAAGGAACCTGAGGTCAGAGCATTTTGGAATCCCCCATGGTGGACAAAGCCAAAGGAAGTAGACATTCTGGTCTCCCCCAAGGAAACATTTTTCCAGTGAGCAATATCATTCCCTGGACAGGCCATGGAGGACAAGGTCAAGGGTCCTTCCCCTGAGTATTCTACTGTGAGGATCTTCACAAAACATGTCATACAAATTTTATGTTCTCACCACAGAGGTGGCTGAGGAAAACAGTATTTTTGGATTTCTTCTGCCTTTTTTTTTTTCCTGAGTGGGGAAAAATACCTTTTATCTTCCTGGTAGCAAGCTCCCCATCTCCCTTGACCCTGCTGTAAACCCAAAAGCAAGGGAAACAACTCTGCAATGTTTCTGAGAGAAAAAACAATCTGAAAAGTCATCTTTTTTTTTTTTCCTGGAACATTTTGAGAAGTTGTTTTCTTGTTTTTTTAAAGTCCAAACCCACTAATTTTGCTTTTTTTTTTTTTTTTTTTTAAATGTAAGAGGTCTTTCATTCATGACCCTCTGAATGTCTGGAGGCAGGGAGCCTGGGCCCACGAGTCCAGGCTTTTATTTCCTCAGAACAAATGTTGAGAAAACTCAAATAGGCAGGCGTTCTCGGGGCAGAGAGAGTGCAAGGGAGAAGGGGCTAAACTCACGGGAGGGAGGGGAAGGGGAGTCAAGGAGCCCTTCCTCCATGATCGCTGTCACCTCTCTGGATGGGAGCTCTAGGAGGAAGGGTCCCTGCCGCCATGGTCGCTGCTATATCCCCATCACCCGGCTGGGAGCCTGGTGCCCCGCGCAGGGGCTCGTTAGCCAAGGACGGATGACCGCGTGTGTGCCAAGCTGCGAGCTCGAGTCTGGTGGTCCCTGTGAGGAGATGCAGACGCAGGGGGGCCGGAGCGGTCTCAAGAGATGCAACGCCCCAGGCAGGAGGCCCTGGATTCCCCCCCCCCCCGGTCCAAAGCTCCCAGGGCATGCTCAGGAAGGCGGGAAACTCATGCCTCCAGGAGGCAGCCTGGCTCTGGCTCAGGAGCAAGTGTGCTCCTGACCCCTCCAATACCGCCTCGGAGAAGGGGTTCCTGGGTTGGGGGCGGTGCTTTCAGTTATGGTGGCAGCCAGTTTTCCAGAGCAGGATGGACCCTGCAAATACAGATGTAGCTCATCCTGGGAGTTTTCCGGCCTCTCTGCGGAGGGTAGAGGGACGGTGTCCATCCAAGGGTGGCCCCTCCCCGGGCAGGCTGCCAATGCCCTCCTGGTGTGGCTGGCAGCAAGCAACAGGGCTCCCCACCCCCCCCGGGGAGTCACCTGGCCCTGCCGCGCCGCGGGGCCCGGGGAGTGGCGAGGCACGCGGGCCTGGAGGACGAGCTGGCTCCTGGTCACCCAGCCATGTGCTTGCCATTAGCCGCCCGCAAGCCGGGGAGGGGGCGACCGCAGGGCTCTCTGTCACGTGTCTTGGCCTTGTGTCAGCACCGCCCGTCCGCTGTGGCTTGAGAAGGCCTCGGAAGGGGAGCCCTGCAAGGGGCTGTAGGGGGTGTGACCTCGGAGATGTGTATTTGGGGAGAGAAGGGAGAACTCTGAGGCCAGACGGGCATTTTCAGGGGAAAGCTATGTGTGTGGGCAGGGGAGAGGGGTTGGGGTGCAGAGGAGGACTGTGGGACCAGGAGGGACGGTGGTGGGGGGCAGTCCTGGAGGAGAGAGGGAGACGGTGGGATTGGGAGAAGCACAGAGGGGAGTTGTGGGGGGAGAGGGGGACTGTAGGAGCGGGAGAGGACAGAGTCCTGGAGGAGACAGGAGGACTGTGGGATCGGGGGAGCACTGACAGGAAGTCAGCGGGGGAAGAAGAGTGTGGGATTAGAGGTATGGCCTGGAGGACGGCAGGGGCCTGTGGGCCCGGGAGAGGCATGGGCTGCAGGAGGGTTGTGGAGAGACTCTCTTACAATTCTATTTCCCTCCATCTTTCCTTCCATTCACACCCCTGCAGTGCTGTGTTCCCTGGGTTCAGTGTCCTCCAAGACTTGTTTTTCATCCTCTTTCCCCACCACACCCCATGTCCGTCTCGGTCACAGCTCTGTCCCCAGAGCCACACCCATGCCTAGGCCTGGGGAGCCCCTAAGGACAAGTGTGTTGAACGGACAGAGGATGGAATCTCTGCGTGGTGACTAGGGACACGTGCCCTGTTTACACACGTGGACACAGAAAATTTCAGAGGCCCAATGGCACACAGTCTTGCTGACTCGTGGCCTGATGCACTCCCCCTGCCCTTAGGCCCAGGGGTCGTCAAACTTCATGTCCGGACCTCAGAGGCTCGAGATGCTGCCGAGGGAGGGGATGGGGAGCTGTTTGAGGCCGGTGGGTGAGAAGCTCTGGGAGCCTCATGTGCCCAGGCCCCGGGCTGGGACAGAGCCGAGCACGCTGGAGCCCACACGTGGGCCCTGTCCGTCCTGCACGCCCGCCCTCACCTCAATGATGTAATCTCTGCCATCCTTGCCGTGGACGGCCTTGACAGCGCAGACGTCCAGGCCGCCAAACATTTCTGAGCAGCTATCCACCCACAGCCTGTACCTGCACAGACCGATAGACAGACAGACAGTGAGCATCGGGGGAGGGAGCAGGTAGGGGGAACAGAGGGGGAGAGAGAGAGAGGTGGAGATAGATTGAGAGACACGGACAAACAGGCCGCAGGACAGATAGTGCCGTGCGCATGCATTCAGAGATGGAGAGAGGTGGTCAGAAATAACAAGAGACAGAGATGCAGCGAGAAAGACAGACAGACGGAGACAACAGAGAAGCAGTGGGAGAAACAGACGGGCATATGAAGGCAGAGACACAAATGGACAGAGAGAGAGACGGAGAAAGGAGAGGGACTAGAAAGGGAGCCAGGAAGCAATAGAGAGAGAGAGAGAGAGAGAGAGGAAGGATGAGGGGGAGAAGGAATGAGGGGTGGGAGAAGTCTCTGAGACCCCGCCCCCGGCCCCCCAGGACCCAGCTGGCTCTGTGGCAGTGGGGAGCTTGTCCCCATCCGGAGCCATCCTGGACACCCTGCCACTCCTGCGGTCCTTTTCCCTTGGGAAAGCTGCTTGAAGGGCTCAGAAATCCCTCCCAGGCCGCCCTTGGAGCCCCAGCGACCATGCTGACCATGCTAGATGAGAGCCTGAGGGAGACAAAGGGTGCATTCTGCCCCGAGCCTGGGGCAGGCAGGCGGGGGAGCCTGGCAGGCTGCTCTCCCAGCCCGGGCCTGGCCCTCTGGACCCAGTGCTTATGTTCCCTTTCCAGCCACTTGAGGGCTGCAAGGTCAGTTTGCTTTGCAGGGGAAAGATTTCAGCGCTGGACTCTGACCCTTGCAACAAGGAGATGGTTGTATCTGGAGAAGTCTTCCCGGGCCTGCACTTGGCTTCCCTTGTGGTGGCTGGATTTGGGAGTCACAGGGGACTTTGTGGCAATATTCCTGTTTCTCTCCTCACTCTCCAGGGTCACTCGGGGCACGCCTGCTCTGAGATCTATTTGTGTCTCTGAGCCATAAGGCCTGGAATGAGGAGAGATCATGGCCGGCATGCTCTTAGAACTAACTTTCTCATCTTAATGGCCAAGGCCCACTGAGGCCCAGAGAGGGAGAGTGGCTTGGCCAGGTCACACAGCAGGGCAGTAATAGAGCCAGGATTACACAGATCTCCTGGTCCCTTGCTCAGTTTTTTCATTCAACTGTAGCAAGGAGCATGCGAGATCACAGAAGGAAAAGGAAGGATGACAACTCACACCTTTTCAGCTCCTGATAGGTACCAGGCCTTCTGTGGGGGTTGACCCTTCCTTCTCTAACCCCCACCACAACTCTGTCAGGAAGGCTGAACCCATATTTCTGATGAGGAGACTGAGGCTCAAAGATCTTAATCAGCCACAGTGCTGGCTTCCAAACCTAGATTCTGTCTGATTCCGCAGTCCAAGCAAGTCACGCTTCTTTTTTTTAAATTTATTTGCGAGAGAGAGAATGAGAGACAGAGAGCATGAGAGGG